TGAAGTCAGAACGAACAAGGGACTTGGCATCGACATCTCGCAGCACGTCACCAAGGGAGCGGTACAGGTCCGAGGTCACAAAGCGCACTGCGTTGGGAGAGGTGTGGCGGCACCACTTGGACCTTCTGAAGGACAGAAATACATCAAAAAGGCATTAAAATGTTATTTCCCATACACAATACAGTAGGACACAGAGTTCCGGAGCACGGCACATCTGTAAGTGCATGCAGAGAACCCCATGGCAGTGAGCCCTCCATCCACACGCTTAGGCACGTCCGTTTATGTGCAGCAGATGAACTGAAGGACATCAGAGCAAGACTGAAGCTTATGGGAATTTAAGAAACTGGACTTTGCTAAAAACCAAGTTTGACAATGGAGAAATGAAGAACGTTACACAGCCCAATGTTTTTTTCTCTGAAAACAGTGCAGAAAAGACCACATGCAAAGCTGCAGAAAGCAAAGACAAAGGTGCTGTCAGACACACCTGCTTCCATAAACTTCATTACACATCAAAACAGGGCGTAATGAAAGGGCTGCTATTGCAATTTACACAGCTAGCCAGGCAACTCCTGCATTTAAATGCGTCCCCAAACACTCAACCATTTTAAAACACTGAGCAACTACCCCAAGAATGGTCTTTTTTGAAATGTGCCAGGAGGCACTGCTTGCAAGGCAATCTGTAGCACGTGGTTTTTAGCAGAAAAATTAGTGAAATATAAAACCTTTGAGATTTGTTGGAGGATAAGAAGAATATGTTCCACAATAAAGCTAAAAAGAAAATGAGATTCTTACTGTAAATGCTCTTTTATCTCAGCTGACTTCCAACAGCAGAAAACAAAGGTTTCTTCTACTCCAGTTGCTGTTAAGAACTCCAAGGTGTAATCAATCATGGCCACATTTGCCATAGGTAAAAGAGCCTGAGAAAAAGAGACATGCAGAGAACTGAACACTGTACCTCAGCAGAAGAAAGTACCTCCCAGCTTCAGGACATAAGACCATCAGCAGTGTCAAAAAAAATAAAATAAAAAAAATCATGAATAACTGCACCATCTCCTTTCAACCAAAATATTCAGAGTGGGCCTAAGCAGTGAGAACTGGTTTCCGATGTTCTGTTGGGTCAGATCCTCACTTCACAATGGAAGGCATGAACAAGGTAAAGTTATCACATACAAAGCTCTTTAAGAGGATATGAATGAGACTAGAAAAAGAAAAAATCCCAGCATGCCAATTCCCTGACTCAGGCTTCAACTGTTACAAGAAAAACCTGTCAGATGTGAGTGATGAAGCCACAGGCCTATGCGTATGCAGAATACAAAGCAGTAGGAAAAAGAAAAAAGACCCGGTCTGATGCAAAGTAAGTACTCCCTTGTCTTGAGACTCAGTTCATGCCTTTAAACCAAGTCACTGATTTACAACTGAATGCTGTCTTACTACACTTTAACTCTCTTCGTGATGTTTTGTTCGAGGCTTGATGCTATGAGAATAATTATGACTACCACAAACGTTTAATTAGCAAATTAAGAGTACTGAGCTAAGGGTACTGTTCAGACTTAAGCTCTCTGGAAGCCCCCTTTCCTTCAACACACGGCTTTCTGATCCAGGTAACTAAAGTGCTTTCCCCATCCATTTTGCTGTCCGTGTTATTCCACCCACAACGAATACTTCGCTTATTTCTTTGACATCGCTGCACGACCCGCCTCTCCCTGACATACGGCAAAGCCATCACCGCCAGCGCAACACAGCCTCCCGAATGTAGCCGCTGTCCCTTCAGAAAGAAGAGAACTGCCGGAGGCTTCTGGGCCCGACAGCAGCCCGAGCCCCACCGGGTACCGCGCACCCTCCCGGCAGGGCAGCGGGCGGAGAGGAGGAGAGGGTTTCCTCACCCGCGGACGGTCCTTGGAGATGGGGAAGAAACGACGGTTGAAGCTGTCGGCGACCAGCACGGCCTGGAGCGGCGGCGGCGGCTCCTCCTGCGGCTCGGAGCCGCGGGCCGCACCAGCACCTGCCCCACGCTTCGCGGAGCCGCGGGCCGCCATCTCCTCACGCTGCCACCGCTCCGCCTTCCGCTTCCGGTCCTGCGCCGGAAGTAGCGACGGGAGCTCAGCGGGCTCAGAACTCGAGAGGTGCGGGCGGGCGGCACATGCGCACTGCTCGCATCTCTGCACGGCAGGAAATGGTGGGGCTGTGTTTGCTGTATGCGGGCACTTCGCAGGCGGCCAGCAGGTCGAAGGACGCGATCCTGCCTCTGCTCTGTGATGGTGAGACCTCACCTGCAGTAGCACGTCCAGATGTGGAGGCCTCGGTACAGGAGAGGCTTGGAGCACGTCCAGAGGAGGCCCACAAAAACGATCCGAGGGACGGAACGCCTCCACGGGGACAGGCTGAGGGCTGGGGCTGATCGGCCTGGAGAAGGGAAGGCTCCGGGGAGATCTGAGAGCAGCCTTTCAGTATCTAACGGAGGGGCTATAGGAAAGTTAGGGGCAGACAATTTAGCAGGGTCTGTTGTGATAGGACAAGGGGAAATGGGCTCAAACTAAAAGAGGAGAGATTTAAACTGGATATAAAGGAAGAAAATTAAAATAAGTGTGATGAGGCATGGGTTGCCCAGAGAGGTGGTGGATTCCCCACCCCTGGAGACACCCAAGGTCAGCCTGCACGGGGCTCTGAGCACCTGATGGAGCTGTAGATGCCCCTGTTCAGTGCAGGGAGTTGGATTAGATGGCCTTTAAGGGTCCCTTCCAACTCCAGAGGATCTATAGTTCTATGAAGTCCTTTCTAAAGTGCTTCAACATCAGCCTCACGCTCAGAAGTGAATTGCTGCATACAGCACTTAGGGTGGAAAGCACACCCTCAGCTGAATCCATTCTCTTCCACGTCTGTCTGCTGCCCACTTACAGCACTTCTGTCCCTCTTGCCAGCACTGGAAGCTGCAGGACCTCACGCTTGCCATCCTGCACTTGTGCCGCTCTCCCAGGGTGGACATTCAGCTCCTCCTGTTCTTCCTTGCCGGCCTTTCCTGGCTTCTGGTTCTCTCACTTGCTATAACCCACTCTGATGAGCTGCCTGCTCTGCTCCTTGCTGCTCTCATCTGACAGCATCTCTGCACCCACCCACTTACTGACCAGCAGAAACCAATCTGCTCAGGACACTTGCACCCACTCCCTCTGAGATAGGGCCCCTCTCCAGGGTGAAACACAGCACGCACTTATCAGCCCATGCACAGTGTGCTCTGCCCATTCTGCTGATGAGAAAGGAATGGAGTCACAACTCAGAGTGACAGCGCTGTCCCTGTGTTATCATCAGCCCGAGCAACACCTGTGTCTGAGCAGTCTTCACTGGGCTATGAATGGGAAAAGATAGTAATAAATACAGCATCTCTTTCCACCAGTTGAATTGCATATCATGGACTGATTTAATAGAAAACAGCTCTTCTCTATCTCCCAAAGGACTCTGCAGTGTTGGATATCCCCTGCATTTCCCTTAGCTGTTAAAATGTGGTGCCATCTGCCCCCAGGTACTTGTGACTGAGCCCCTGCTGTGCTTTATGTACCTTGTGACTGCAGTTACTTGACATTAGACAATGGTTTAAAATAAAGCGGCAAGGATGGACACAGCAAGAAAATAAAAATGAGCTGCCCCAGAGAAAGAAATTGTTCCCATTCTTTTCAAAAATAGGTGTCTGCATCCCCTTGGGAATTCTGTTGCCACAGCAAAGAAGCTAACCCCTGAAAAAGAAATAACAAAAAAAAGCTCTCAGATTGTTACAGCTTGAGGAATTAACAAAGATGTGGATTTGTCATTGCCTGAGGGCAGGACAGCATTTTCCTTCCTGCCTTTGCAGCATTAAAGGTATAAACAGCACCAGAAATCAGGTCTGATCCAGCCTGCACAGCCACTGCCGATGTCAAGACTGGGCACACAGAACTCGATGGGACAATCAGCAGATTATCTGTATAATTGCATCCCGTTCTCTGCAAATGAGGCAAATTTCCAAAACATTGCCCTGGTAAATTGGCAGGAGCAAAGGAAGGCAAACCAATGTAATTGCTAATGAACTGAACTCAAAATCAGCCTGATAAATATTCCTCAGGCTTTGCAGAAACATTTCCAGTCGGTTTCCATGAGGACCTGCAGGCCAGTAGCCCTCACAAGAAACACTTTTTGAAAGCAATATAATTGCAGGGGAGCTTTTAAAATTGAAAATAGCTCGTGGAATCTGAGATGAGGCTGCACTGGGTTAGACTGAACATCCACCAAGCCCAATATGCTGCTATGGTTGGACAGGATGTGGAAGAAGCCATGAACTGCAGGGATTTTTTCTACTCCTTCACCCCTTAGAGCAACAAGGAGCAGCATCCAGCAGCTCTGGGAGTAATGAATGGTGGGGATGCCCTGCTTTCTGGTGATCCTCCTCCCAGCCTGTGCTCTTACATAGGCAACTCTTTTTCTCCTCTCTGATCACTTGGTATCTCCTTGGCTTTTCTCTCTGCATACAGGATGCTCTACAATGTATTTCTAAGCCTTGTCAGGCAGCTCCAGATCTGGTCCTATTTTAGACATCTTAGAGGCTCCACATCTAGAGAAGGAGCTGCGTCAGGGATTCCCAAGGATGGTGAGACTCACAGTGAGGATGACAGGAGGTCTGCATGGAGGAGCCATGTATGTAGCACAGGATAAATTTCCCCTCACTAGATGGCACATTCTGCCTGGTGGCCAATGCGTGTCAGAGGTGACATGGGGCACTTGGTACAGGATGTCTGACACCAGGGCCAACCTGGGCTTACTCACAGTGGCTGATACTTGCTCACCAGGTATAGAGAGGGGTCCACCTACCTGAGCTGCCCAGAGCCGCTCCTACCCCTTCAATAACGAGCAGGTGATCACAGAATTGCCAAGGTTGTAAAAGACCTTCAGGATCATCCAGTCCAACCATCCGCCCATCACCAACAGTACTCATTAAACCACGTCCCTCAACGCAAAATCCAAACGTGATGGGACATGCATCCAGCCCTCCTGTGTGCCTGAGCAGCTCTGTTCCTGGCCTCAGGATTTGCATGAGCACCAAACCAAGTCTTGCAGGTGAAAAGAGACCTGCAGACCACAAGTAGGTCAGCAGAGGTGAAGCCCAGACTGACTCTGCTCTGCATCCCCATCCTCCCACGTCCTGGGCTCCAGCCAGGCTGGCAGCAGGAACATTGACTCACAGGCTGTGTCTTGTTCTTTGCTCTTTCGTCCCTTCTCTTCTGTTTCTCACATGCAGGTTTCTGCCAGACAAACTGCTGGGCTTCATCCACTCTTAGCATCCTGCTGCTCCTTTGTTCACAGCCTTGAAAAGTGGACAAAAAGACCACAGGCCACCCAGTCGGCACCTCCTGGGGTTATCACATGCCATAGGATTGCAGAACTGCCTGGTAGCTTTTTCCACTAGCAAGATGCTGGGCATCATACACTACCAATGGGCAAGATGCACTACTGCTGCCACAGCTCCCCGCACCTCAGTTGCCCTCAGCTTGGCTGGGCTGTAGGGTACAATGCCCTGCAAATCTGCATATTTTAGCTGAGTTTCCAATCCTTTACAAGCATTGCCCCAAACCTTACAGCATTCTTGCTTTCTCCACATAGTCCCAGCTGACAACAAACTCCTAACGTGGCTCTTGAGCAAAGTGATGGGATGCCCTGCCTCATCCCACAGGATGTTGCTTCCATCAACCCTCACCAGCTGCTTTTCCCAAGAAGCACCAGCTTTGGGTGGCAGTGCTCACATCCAGCTGACAGACTCATGCTCTACCTGGTGTTCTTCTGGTACTGCTGCTTGTGCTTTGGCTCCATCCTTTGCTGATTCACCTTGCTGGTCACTCAGAGACCGATGGTGTTCCAGGCACAGCAGGCACAGGCTCCTCCTCACTTCTTAGTGAGGACACCCTGTCTGGGGAAGATGAGTCAGCAGCCATCTGGCTTGGCACATGCTCCTGGAGGCAGCCACCCTGTGTGACCCCAGAGGCTGCTCAAGGCTGAAGATGAGATGGGTTTCCCATCAGGGGACACAGCTGGAGCCATCATGGGAAGCCATCAGTGCTCCCAGTCACGGGGAGGAAGATTTTGTTTGCACAACACCAGGAGATCTCATGGGGAAGTGGTCAGGCCACGAGTTGAAGGGCTTCCTCCAGGTTTTATGGGGCACTGGAGCAGAGCTGCCTCCTGTTTTCTCAACTAACCCTTCTCTAGCTCTGACCCATGCAGATTCCTAAAGCAGAATAGCTCTTCCCAAGCAAGTGTGTGAAGTCAGCTCAGAGAGGCTCACCCTTTGTAATTAGAGCAAAGGCTGGTAGGAAGCAACCTGGGGGCTGAGCCAGGGAGAAAAAAGGCATTCTCTTTGGAGCTACAGTAGGAAAGATTAACATGGTGGGAGTACAATACAGAGCATAACAATAAAAGAACTGGCACAGACGGAATGGTGCTACAAAGCAAAAGTGCCCACCCATCTCCAAAGATCTAGGCTTAGAGGAAAGGCACTACAAAGGAGGGATCTTCAACCAGAGATCTTTCCCCAGAGGCAGTCAGCCCTTAAATGAGATCTAAGAGAGGTGCAGCCAGACTCCACCCCTTCAGGTTGCACAGATGAATTGCCTTCACAGCCCCAGGTGCTCAATCAGTGGTTCAGGCCATGACTTAACAGTTACCATGCATTTGGAAAGCCAAAGGGCCAAAGAAGACATGGAGCTTGGCAACCATAGCCTTGGGAATGGGGGGGTTGGCAGGGAAATGTCAGAGTGTTATGGAGGCAGGGTCTGGTGTCACTTGCATTATGAGAGAGGAATTTTTGGTGCTAAGTCAGAGCTGCAGGGACACAGAGGAAATTCCCTGGATTTAAAGAGCCAAGATGGTTGAGGATAACATAGGACTTCACTTGAAGAGCTGCTTGGCTGGCTCCAGCTCCCTCCCACCCTACACCATGTGCAGATGTTGCTCTGTTCTTGCTGTCTTGCTCAGACCTGGGGCTGCTTCCCATCTCCTGTGCAGAGGGCAAGGTTTTTCCTCATTTCTCACCTCTTCCAGCGGAGGAAAAAGGCTCCTGCAGCATCCCCTAGGAGTTCAGCCCTGGCTCTACTTGGTGGGGATGCCAGGGGAGAAGAAATCCCTCTGCTGCCTGCTGCAGCCCAGGATGCATTGCTTTGGGAAGGAGGCAGCCCCACTTCCCAGGCAGCTCTCTGCCAGAAGCCTTTGATCAAGGCACAGCTCCCTGTGTGCTGCTCAGAGCAGAGCCCACGTTTCCTGTAACCCTTCCTTCCCTGCACAGCTGGTTCTCTGCAGGAAAGGCATATGTATCAGAGCCCCCCATCCGAGGGCTTCGTGTTTCCATTCCGCTGCTCATTTTGTTTTAGAAAAGCTTTGTGTTGGGGCTGCCTTAAGATCCAGTGAAGGCAAAGGGGAACTTTCTCAGGGAGAGCTGTCAGGCTGCTTCCATCACATCAAAGCCAGCCAGAGGTCACATTATCTTGACAGATGTTGTACACTACAGATCTGGTTACTGTACTGATGTTTCCCATGGAATCACTCCAACACTTCTTTTTGTTTGTCGGGGATATATTTCAAAATATAACATTGCAGAAAAGCAGAAGGAAGCAGCAGATTGATGACCTTTTCCTGGTAGTGCAGAATGCTGGCTCAAATTGCAGTAGTACCAAAGAAAACAGAATATATGGAAACCAGAAAGAAATCAAATCTCTTGGATTGTCCCTGGGAGCAGCTTCTCCATCTCCACAGCTGCAGCGCTACTTCACATGCTGGCTTTGATTCCCTAAAAAGATGCACAGTTTCTATGTCTTTTCACCCTTTGAACATGGAGTGAAGCACTGGTCACATCACCAATCATAACACTTGATTCCTGTGCCTGGAAGTTATCAAACTTGCTTCTGGCTTGACGCTGTCACCTGAGAGGAGATGAGCTCCACAGGGCAGGAACATGATACTGCATGCTTGGCTACAGCCAGTGCTGTAGGTATGGAAATAAGATGAGCCCAAAGGCACTGCAACCGAGCTGACTCAAGTCTGATGCAAGAAGAACCCAGATCCTGGATCCCTGCATGCACAGGCACAACTCGGATCCGCTACAGCTGGTAGCAGACAGAGCCTCTTACCCACAGGTGAGGCTGGAGTTCAGCCAGAAACTTTATCTGAACTTTGGCTCATCCCTGTGTGTCTGCTCACAAGCAAAAGGTGCTTTAAACCAACTCTGCTTTCCTCTGTGTAAAATGCTGCAAAGGCATGGAGGAAATGGAGCAGGCCTTGGCTTTTTGTACAGACAGAAGCAATGGCACCAGGATTCACAAGGCAGCACTTGGGGTCATTCTTCCCCTTGTAGGAAGAATTGCTGTTGTTTCAGAGCAGGAGCAGATGGTGGCTGATGTTACCTCCCTCAGACAATGAGGTCTGATTGCTTGAAAATGCCAACAGGTTATTTTCCTTTATTTCAGTTTTCCATTGGTTCAGTCTTCTGCCTTTAAGAGGAAGCCTGGTGCTGCTCACTGATGGGGAAGGTTTTTCTTCACAGCAGTGGTTTGGGACTTTGCTCTACTTTTTATATGCAGCAACTCTCCTTTGCCTCTCTCACATGTTTCCAGCAGTCGTGTTTTTTAGATGAGAAACTGAGCCACGGGATTAAGGTGTGATACACATGGGATGATGGAACAAGCTGGTGGCTGAGCACCATCCTATCCAGGAACAACGCAGTGGAGGACGTGGTGCTGGTGCTTCTCATTCTTACGTCCCTCAGTGCTGTGCTCTCAGTCCTGGGACCACAGCTGGGCCAGTCTGTAGTTGTCAGCATTAAGCTGGGCTAGTTATCCTGAGCATTGCCACTCCTTGAGCACCATCCCAATCCTTGTCCTGCAGCACGTGGCAGCACAGTGCTTTGTTTCCAGCTGACCTGACGAAGCCCTGATCACATGCATCAATTTTCCTTTCGGAGGCTGCAAAACGCCTGGGGACTGCCTGTATGCAGAACGTGGGATGGGCATGTGACACTGCTCCATTTGGCAAAGCAAACCTGCTCCAGACATATGTTTCCCCATTCTGGGATTTCTGTAGCTTTAACAAACAGCCCCAAGGTTTCAGACTGCTCAGGGGTTCCTGTTCCTGCAAGCCTCACCTCACCTGACCCAAGCTGAGGCCCAGGATTTGTTCCAAACCTCTGGGTGTCCCACAGCCCAGCTGATGGTGCGCTCTTTGTTCTCCTAGTGATGGTAGCGGTGGTGCCTGCCTGCAATTGGTGACACGCTGTGACTGCATCCTGGGAGCCAAAGGGAAGGTCACACTGGCCACATTCTGGTCACCATCGCTGCTGCATAGCCCTGGCATCTCCAGAATTAACATTCTGATCTGATCTCAGTGTTCTGAGGGGCCACGTCCTCCCCTCTGGGGCCAGTGCTGCACCTCTCTGGTGAGAGGAGTTCCCATTCCTACTGCTGCAGAGCAACCAAAGCTGCTGCTCCATATCTGCAGACCATGGATGGCTAGCAGCAGAGTATGGGTACAGATCCCAAAGCTGAGTGCTGAGTCCCAGTCTCCAATGTTCATCCAGACACTGCTCCGGCCTTTTACTGTTGAGCTGTTTGGCCTTTCCACTGACTTCGTCAAGTAAGCAGCCACATAACCAGCCCAGGCTCGAGCCTGGCTTTTCCTCACCACACCAGCAAGCGTGCACAGGCTCTGCCTCAACCTATGCTGCAACCCATGCTGCTGATTTCCATCAATTACTCATGAACTGTGAGAGTGGAGCAAGCTATAGGAGCCACACAACTTGCTAGTGTGCATAGGTCTGCCTCAACTTCTGCTCTCTGGGCAATGCTTTGCCCTTGGATTGATCTTGCCCGCTGAATCACCAGGTTTGTGGAAGAAAGATTGATCAGCGTAGATACGAACTGCCCTGAACTGATTTTCTGTGCTGGATTATGCTTTAAACGTTGCAACAACTTTGAAAGCTTCTCCCAGTAAGAAAAAAAAGCAGGTTTATGTTGGTCACTGCTGAGCATTATTTCTATTTTACTCTCCTAAAGCCCAAAATAAACAGCATATGAAACAAGATGGTGAACTTTTTCTGTGCTCTCTCCCGACCCGAATGATGCATTACAGCCCAAATTTAATCCACGTGGCGCAGCACTGCACCTCTCCTGCACTCTGACAAGCAGAAACGCTGCAAAAATGGGGCAGGATGATCAACACCTACAAAGCGTAGCACTGAAAGGCATTTGTTGCAGAGGCATGGCTATTTGGAGAAGGTGTTGAGATGAGGGAAGCGGTGTCAGCTGGGCTGTGAAGGCTCAGCGCCAAGCTGGGCTGCAGGGGAGGGGAGGAGAGGGAGGAGAGGCACAGGTTTTTCTTCGAAACGCTGTTCACAGCAACAGTAATGTGAAGGCAGGATGGGTCACTGCCAGTCCCTGACTCAAGGTCAGGCTGGACCAGGCTCAGGACAACCAGATCGAGCTGTGTGTGTCCCTGTGCATGGCAGGGGAGCTGGACTAGACGGCCTTTAAAGATCCCTTCTAGCTCAATTCTGTGACTCAATGATTCTATGATTTATGAACTCCTGCCTCAAGCAGGTCAGAAGAGGGGAGGATTAATCTTTTCTTTGGTCCGAGCCCATCACCTCTGCTCTCCCTGCGGAGAACGGCAGTGCTGAGCCTGCAGGAAACCTCTGTGACTTTTTGTTCCTGTGTGAACCATGGCCGAACCCATCAGACCCATAACCCCTCTTATGTGAAACACGACCAAACCCATGTATTCTTAAAATCAGCCTATTGCTAATTATGCAACGAAATTATTGCTGATTATCCACGCCTTTGTTTGCAGGAAGCTGGACTGTGCTTTCCAGGAGACAAACCCAGCTCACCGCTGTCCTGCAATCGCTGGGGGACGGCGGGCACGGAGCAGGGACAGCACACAGCCTGCGGCCGCCCGGCATCGCGCCCTCAATGGCCGCTGGAGCGTTGAGCGGCTCTCGGGAAATACGGCCCTGAGAGATCGAACCAGCGCTCCGCAGCACGGGACGCCTCCGCCCGATTCATTTCTGCGAGCTCCGAGCGGCGGGAGTGGAAAAGCACCGCTCGTGAGGAGGGGC